TGGCGCTCCCGGAGCACCTGCGCCCCGGGGAGGGCCGTGACTGCTGCCTGCGGGGACAGGCGAGGCGGCCGTGGTTCTGTGGGGTGAGGTGAAGCGGAGAGCTGGCGTGGAGGGGAACTCCGCTGGCCTGGAGCCAGGGCCACACACAGACTGGATGCGGGACTGCCCCAGCTACCTCGTGGCCTTTCCCTTAGGGAGGGTCCCGGGGCCCACCCCGTCCCTGTCCTGCTCGCAGAGGGCTCTCAGCACCCCTCCTCACACCTGCCAGGCGACCCCAGGGATCTGTTCTCACGTGAACCACTGGCCCTTCACTGCCAGGAATGTTCTCATCCCCCGTATCCAGCCCTAGGGATACCCATTCCACTCTCCGTAGATCCAGGTCTGCAGAGTTCCACTCCTCCACCACCCCAACCCACGCCACAGGCATCCATCTCGCTTTCTTCAGGTCTGGCCTTAGAGGGATCCCCTCCACCCTTCCCCAGGTCAGGCCCTACGTAACCCTTAGGGAACTGTCCTCAAATGAACTGGCCTTAAAGCCAAGTTTCTGAAGGGATGCATGTGCCCCACAGGTGGATGTGTTTCGTGAAGACCTCTGTACCAAGGTAAGACATGCCCCATCAGCGGCCCCACCCCTACCCAACTCCTACGGCTCAACCCTGCCTCACCACCTAGGATGGGCATTTGATGCTGACTCCCATCCTTCTCCATCCCACCTCACACACAGACAGAGAACCTGCTCGGGAGCTATTTCCCCAAGAAGATTTCTGAGCTGGATGCATTTTTAAAGGTACCGCGGCTGGGCAGGGAGCTAGGGAGTAAAGGCCAAGAGAAGGGTCAGGAGCTGTGAGAGTGAGGTGAAAGGAACCCCCTCACCTCCAGCCCTCCTCCCACTCTACACCAGGAGCCAGCTCTCAATGAAGCCAACCTGAGCAATCTGAAGGCCCCGTTGGACATCCCAGTGCCTGATCCAGTCAAGGAGAAAGAGAAAGAGGAACGGAAGAAACAGCAGGAGGCAAACTGGGAAGACCTGGGAGAAGGGATCCAACCATGGGGGTAATCAACCTTAGTTCTGACTCTCATGAGCCCCTCTTTTTCTGCAGAAGGAAGACAAGGATGAAAAGAAGAAGGGGGAGGATGAAGACAAAGGTACTTGAAACCACAATTGTGGGAAGAGACTTGAGTCCCACCCACAGGAGCTCCTCCTAGGGATTTCTTTCTACTCTCCCCTTCAACCCTCACACAGGCTCAATCATGTGACTGACCCATTGCTCACTCTCTAGGTCCTCCCTGTGGCCCAGTGAACTGCAATGAAAAGATCTTGGTCCTTCTGCAGCGCTTGAAGCCTGAGATCAAGGATGTCATTGAGCAGCTCAACCTGGTAGGCCCTCCCCCTTCAACTCTCAGGCTTTAAGTCAAACGATTGTCCTCTTAGTCCCTGCCATTTAGGGCCTGGCACATGCCAGGTTTTAGCAAGAGAGGGCACAGCAAGTGAAACCAGAAGTCCGGGCTCTGAGGCTCAGGAGAGACCTGGCATGCCTCCACCCAGTGTGGGGAGGGAAGCAAGGGAGAATATGAAACGGAATTGGATAGAGGGCTGATGTGGCATTACGCCATTCCCTCTTCCCAGGTCACCACCTGGCTGCAGCTGCAGATACCTCGGATTGAGGATGGTAACAATTTTGGAGTGGCTGTCCAGGTGAGAGCGCTGCCCCACTTCCCTGCTCTTTTCTAGTCCATGCTTCCTTCTACTTTCCCCCTTGCTTTTTTTCCCTAGGAGAAGGTGTTTGAGCTGATGACCAGCCTCCACACCAAGCTAGAAGGCTTCCACACCCAAATCTCTAAGTGAGTGACCACCCATGTACACACTGTCTGTTTTGGGACAGAGACCTCCTTCTTCTTCTACTCCATACACACTTCTCCTTCCACAGGTATTTCTCTGAGCGTGGTGATGCAGTGACTAAAGCAGCCAAGCAGCCCCATGTGGTAGGTGAGGCCCGGGTCAGGGTGCATGAGGGAAGGACTCATGTAAGGTCAGGCCTGACCCGAGCTTCCCACAGGGTGATTATCGGCAGCTGGTGCATGAGCTGGATGAGGCAGAGTACCGGGACATCCGGCTGATGGTCATGGAGATCCGCAATGCTTATGTGAGGAGGCGAGGGCAGGGGTGGGCAGAGGCAGCTTTCCCAGGCCATGCACTCCCTGACCCTGCAGGCTGGGGGTAAAGGGTGACAAAGCGCAGCTTCTCCACAAGGCTAGAAATGGGGCACAGAGCCACTGGAGGCCTCTGACTGACCTCCACTCCTCCCTGGCCCTGTAGGCTGTGTTATATGACATCATCCTGAAGAACTTCGAGAAGCTCAAGAAGCCCAGGGGAGAAACAAAGGGAATGATCTATTGAGAGCCCTCTCTCCCATTCTGGGATGGGTACAGCAGAGACCTTCCTACTTTTTACTGGGGACTCCAGATTTTCCCCAAACTTGCTTCTGTTGAGATTTTTCCCTCATCTTGCCTCCCAGGCACAATAAATATAGTTATACCACTGCCCATCAGCCCAAGTCTCTTTATTGGATCTGGACCCTGCTGGCCCTGGCTCAGGCATTTCCATTTCCATTAGTGGGACCAACCCACTGGGTGATTTGAGTGTTGAGCCACTGGTTGGTCCAGTCCTGCCGGATGTCGTCAAGGTGGCAGTCAAAGTCCACAAGGTGCTGGTGGGCCCGATCTTCCAGTAGAGCTCCCACCATCTGCCGTGACTCTTCCCAGTCCCTCCACATGACTCTGAAATAGCAACCCCCATGGAGGTCAAACAGCAAGTAGTGGGGCCAGACACAGACTTGACAGAGATTGGGTCTAGAGAAAGACCCTTGGGGCAGGGCCAAGGACAGAGGAGACCCAGGAATCTTGGGCTTCTAAGAAGAGAGAGAGGGAGTGGGGTACTCACAAGTTCTTATCCTTAGGGACCCAGCGGAGACCTTGGTTCTCCAGGACGATGACCGGGGGCACACGAGGCTGAGGCACCAGTTTCTGATTATCCAACTGAGTGGACAAAGAAGGGCAAGTGAGAGTTTCAAGGGTCCCCTCACCCTACTTTCTTTTCACCTCCCCACCCAGAAACCCAAGTCTCACCATAATAAGTACTGCATCAGGGAAGAATTCTGCAATTCGCCCAGCAATTTTCAAGGCCAGGGGCCCAGGGCTGTGTAGAGGGAAGATCAGAGGAGTGAGGAGCCAACTGTGGGCAAAACCCATCCATTTGAGCTGGGCCTCCCAGGTCTCATAGATGTGGGCGCAGCTGTGGCCTTTCCCTGTAGGTGGCCTGCGGGGATCGGGCCTGCTGGATGCTTGATGTACGACTGCTTGATGCTTGAGTGCTGTGGGAAACAGGTGCTCAGATACTGCTGGTGAGAGTGGAAACCAAAGGTGGTCTTTTTGGAAGGTAATTTGGCATAACCATCCAAATTGAAACTGTATACATACTACATATTATACATATGCTAACCCAGAAATTCTACTTATAAAGAATTTACGGTAATAATAGGACAGTGTCTGTAATAAAACATTGGAAACAACCTCAATGTTTGAAGCATTAAATAAATCACAGTACATCCATATTCAGACTATACAGTTGTTAGGGAAAGGTAGATCTTGCTGTGGAAATGGGATGATGTCAAGTATTTATTAAGTGAGGGAGAAACGCAAATTACAAAACAGTATCTCTAATCTGCTTCATGTATATGATTTATATATATATAATTGTCTTTTCCTATATATATAAGGAAACTGCCTTATTTTTGAAGTTGCTGGTTGGGATTTCTCTGTTCTTTCAGCACCTGGGGGACACCTCAGTTAAAGCAAGATCAGTCTGTTGGCCAGGAGTGGTGGCTCACGCCTGTAATCCCAGCACTTTGGGAGGCTGAAGCTCGTGGATCACCTGAGGTCAAGTTCTAGACCAGCCTGGCCAACACGGCGAAACCCCGTCTCTACTAAAAACAAAAAAATAAAAATAATAATTAAAAAAAGCCAGGCACGGTGGCGCTCATCTGTGATCCCAGCTACTCGAGAGGCTGAGGCAGAAGAATCCTGAATCCAGGAGGTGGAGGTTGCAGTGAGCCGAGATTGCGCCACTGCACTCCAGCCTGGGCGACAGAACGAGACTCCGTCTCAAAAAAAAAAAAAAAACAAAATCAGTCTGTTGATACACAGTTGTCCTCCCCGCCGAAACGGCACTCCAGAGCAGGGCTCTGTCCTATTCATCTTTATATTTCCTCACTCCAGTACCCAGCATAGTGCCTGGTGTAAAACCCCTGCTCCTAAGCGTTTGATGAAGGAAAGATAGAAGGAATGACCTTGGTTCATCTTGTGTGCCCCCCTCCACCCAATGCCCCACGCATCCTCGCCCTCTATTCCTCCAACCCGCAACCCCCCATAATCCTTTCCTTCTTCCTCTGGCTACGCCACTCACCTCTGGTCGTCCACAGCTGCATTGGCATGGTAGTAACCAGCCACCACCAGACCGGCCTGTGCTCCCCACACATCCACCTGTCGTGGGAAAGGGGCCATCAGTAATTAAATTGTGCCGCTGGCTTTGTGGATGCGCACTGCTGCCAAGGGACCGGGGATTAACTTGGGCTGGGGTGTTGGGTGGGTTCGCGGTGGGGGATGGGCATCCAACGGAGGCACCTGGTTGAGGGCGACCTCCAACATGACGGACAGGGCCAGGTGGCTGTGGAAGAGGGGCACACAGTCGGTGAGGCACAGGCATTCTCCGGACCGCGGCGCTGGCGCCAGAAACAGCCCGTTGACTGCGGCGTGTGGGTACCGGGCAGCATGCAGGCACATCTTCACGTAGGCCAGGGCCGAGATCTCCACCTCCCCCATGGCGAGTGGGGCCTGGCCGGGAAGCAGCAAGCCGGATTAGTGCCGAATTAGGCGAGCCGGTGCCTAGCTCGCGTCCGTGAAGCTCCTTCCAGCGCTTCGGCACCCTCTTTGACCCTTCCCGGTGCCCTCTCACTTCGGTTCGGCTACAACGCTAACTCGACTCGCAGGTAGCCCGCCGGCTCCCGGCGCCCGGGGTCCGGGAGTCCGCCCGAAGCCCAGCCCAGGAGGAGGTCCCGATTGCATCCGAGCCCCGCCTTCCCGAGCCCCTAGCTGGCGGTTGCGACTCAGCGCCTGCCTGGGAGACAGGGCAAGCTGCAGCTCCCTGCAGAACTGGCACCTGAAGTCCCGCCCACGTGGTGCTCCTTGATAGGGCTAAAGGCTTTCAATTTGTCCAATCAGCGGCCGCACCCCAACTTTGCCCCGCCTTTGTCTCCAGCGGACTGGAAAGAACCCTCCATTGTGTAGCAAAGAAAATTGCCCGCACTCTTATTGGCTAGGTTCCCCGACTTCCGCTCTCGTTGCTGGTTGGGTTTGCCTGTAAACCTGCGTTGCCCACCACCACCCGCTCCGCGGAGCCCCGGGGATGGAGCGCTAACCCGTAGCCGGGTGTTCCGAAGGGCTGCGGGCAAAGCAGACCGCCTTGCGCCTATTATGGGACGAGTGGATCTGTACTCTAGATCGGCTCTGTCACTAATGATCCGTGTTACCTTCGCGACTGCAGGTTTTCTTGCCCTTGGTTTATCTTTTGCCCATGTTCCTTTAAGGTTTTAATGAGATATGTATGGGGGCAGGCTTCCAGCCTGTCCAGTGCTTCGCAGCACGTTCTTATGTCATATTTTATGACAGGATAAGGCCCTGAATTAAAGAACAATCCCATGGAGTTTATAGCAAGATCACAGCAAAGGAACCCTTGTCTTCAGCCCAGGGCTGAATCTTGAAAAGCAGAGATAAAGACAGTGATTGGCTGAAGGGGGTGTAGGGGAGGACAGTAAGAAAAACTTACAGATGAATCTTTCCCATAATGTCCTGCGGTGTATTTCCTTCACCACAATGCCTGGGAAGCATTATTTTTTTCCCTCCCAGCCCTTAAGAAGAAGTCCAGGTCAGGAGCAGTGGTTCACGCCTTGCAGTGCCAGCACTTTGTGAGGCCGAGGTGGGTGGATCACCTGAGGTCAGGAGTTCAAGACCAGCCTGGCCAACATAGCAAAACCCCGTCTCTACTAAAAATACAAAAAGTCCCGCCCACGTGGTGCTCCTTGATAGGGCTAAAGGCTTTCAATTTGTCCAATCAGCGGCCGCACCCCAACTTTGCCCCGCCTTTGTCTCCAGCGGACTGGAAAGAACCCTCCATTGTGAAGCAAAGAAAATTGCCCGCACTCTTATTGGCTAGGTTCCCCGACTTCCGCTCTCGTTGCTGGTTGGGTTTGCCTGTTAACCTGTGTTGCCCACCACCACCCGCTCCGCGGAGCCCCGGGGATGGAGCGCTAACCCGTAGCCGGGTGTTCCGAAGGGCTGCGGGCAAAGCAGACCGCCTTGCGCCTATTATGGGACGAGTGGATCTGTACTCTAGATCGGCTCTGTCACTAATGATCCGTGTTACCTTCGCGACTGCAGGTTTTCTTGCCCTTGGTTTATCTTTTGCCCATGTTCCTTTAAGGTTTTAATGAGATATGTATGGGGGCAGGCTTCCAGCCTGTCCAGTGCTTCGCAGCACGTTCTTATGTCATATTTTATGACAGGATAAGGCCCTGAATTAAAGAACAATCCCATGGAGTTTATAGCAAGATCACAGCAAAGGAACCCTTGTCTTCAGCCCAGGGCTGAATCTTGAAAAGCAGAGATAAAGACAGTGATTGGCTGAAGGGGGTGTAGGGGAGGACAGTAAGAAAAACTTACATAATGTCCCATAATGTCCTGCGGTGTATTTCCTTCACCACAATGCCTTGGAAGCATTATTTTTTTCCCTCCCAGCCCTTAAGAAGAAGTCCAGGTCAGGAGCAGTGGTTCACGCCTTGCAGTGCCAGCACTTTGTGAGGCCGAGGTGGGTGGATTACCTGAGGTCAGGAGTTCAAGACCAGCCTGGCCAACATAGCAAAACCCCGTCTCTACTAAAAATACAAAAAATTAGCGGGGCGTGCTGGCGGGCGCCTGTAATTCCTACTCGGAGGCTGAGGCAGGAGAATGGCGTGAACCCAGGAGGCAGAGCTTGCAGTGAGCCGAGATCGTGCCACTGCACTCCAGCCTGGGCGACAAAGTGAGACTCCATCTCAAAAAAAAAAAAAAAAGATTACAGTGGGCATCTAAGTCATGACACCCACCCCTTCCCACCACATTCATCTTCATTCTGGACATAGGTGCCACCTCAATAAATGCTTTTTGAATGAATGACACATGCAGGAAGGGAATCCATACAACATATAGATCATTTATTTTCCTTCTAGTCCTGGGTTCAGTACATAGATGGCTTCTCTTCACCCTTTGGGTTGACAATTTTCTCCAGGTTGCTGCTGATGATATGATAAAGCTCAGCCTGGGAGAAGGCCAGAGTGCAAGAGTCAGGTTCTTAGCCAATCCCCTGCCCGCCCCTACTCATCCACCTCCCCTAAGGCCTTACTCCAGACTCACATAGAAGGCCCTCAGGTCCAGCACCATGGCCCTGAGCTCCCCATAGGCTGCCTCATCTCGCTCATGCACCAAGGCCCGGTAATCCATCTGCAGTGTGGGAGGCAAAGCTGTGTCAGTCCCATGGGAGGCTGGGACATGAGTCTGGTTTCCTTTCATAGGAAACAAGTTAACTTGAGAATGAACCCCTTCTTAGCACCAAGAAATAGGATCCCAAGGGACTGAGCAGAGAAAAGGGTCAAAGTCGTTGAAGCCCTAATCGGTTTTTCTAGGCAATGCTTTTAGCTAAATATTCTACACATTGGGAAAGTCACAAACAAGACAAGGAGGACCTCTTTCTCCACACCTCCTCGTCCCACCCCCAGCTAAAAGGCTGGTGGACTATCCACTCACTACATGAGTCTCCTTGGAGGCCTTGGCCACAGCATCCCCACGTTCTGAGAAGTACCTGCCAGAAGCAAGGAAATACCACAGGAATGAGTGTTCAGGGAGATGTACTCCCTCAGACCCTTCCCAAAGTCTCCCATCATCCTGATGCCTAGCTTTGGGGGTCCCAAAGAAATGCTCCTACTGCCCCCAATGCTGGTCTTCCAGCTGCCCTCACTTGGAAATGGTTGTCTGGAAAGCTTCCACTTTGGTCTTGACAGCATTCACCCTCTCCAGCACCTTCTCCTGTGGTGACACGGGAGGCAAAGACAACACTTCATGTCCTCCCCATTTCATACACTATCTTCCTCCTCCTTCTGGTTCATGTCTAGCTCAACCTCCGAGGCTCTCCCCACTCTAAGTGTCTTCAGTTACCCTTTTCTTACCTGGATTGCTACCCCAAAATCATTTCCATCTTCAATCTTGGGGATCAGGTGCTGGATCCATGTAATCACCTGTGTTAAGAGGTATCATGTAAGAATTATTCAACAAACATACTGAGTTCTTCCTATTATTGTCACTTACTAAAAAATTGTTATATTTAATTGGCTACTTATTACACACCAGCGCTGTGTCATGTATTTATTTCATTTAATCATCACAGCAACCATCAGAGACACATATTTATTGTATCCATTTAACAGATGAAAAAACTGAGTCACAGAATGTCTAAGTGACTTACTTAAGGTTACCAGCTAGGTAACTGATAGAATCATGATTTGAACCTAAGCAGTCTCTCTCTAGGGTCCAATCTTTTAAAACAATTCACTCACTATATCATGCCACCTCTACTATGAACCCGATAGAGCAGTAGGTTCTGAGGTTACAGAGTGGATACTGCACAGTCTCTAATTTTGGGGGTACCATTGTGATAAGAGAGGTCTAACAGAATGAGAACAAAGGAGATCTAAGCCCAAGGCACAGAAGGAAGTTTTCTTTTTCAGGACTAGGTCTCTGTATGAAGGACTTGTATCTATGGAGGAGTCCAGGGCCTCACTTTGTGTATCTTCTCTTTCCACCTCCCCCATTTCCCAGGCTTACCAGAATGCATTTCTCTTTGAGAGTCCAGACTTCTGGCTTAACCAGGGCAAGCAGGGACAGGACTTTCTCATTCCCAGGGAGAAATCCACACTTAGGGACTGTGAGAAAGAGGGGATTCAGGTCCTTTCTCATCCAGCAGCCAATGTGCCATCTCCCCTTCCCTAGTCACCTCTTATCTCTCTTACCTTCTTTCTTCTCCTGCTTATCTGTTTCCATCTAAGACAAAAAAGGGGGAAAGTAGCTTTGGAAAAGTCACAGAGGTTGAAGGGCTATCATCTCCATTGGGTTTATAGTCCAAGTCCTGCACCCTGAATGCCTCACCTCATCATCCTTGGGTGGAGGGTCTGGGATGGGGATGTCCAGTGGGGCCCGGAGGGAAGTCAGGTCAGCCACATTGAGGGAGTCCTCCTGCACAGAGTTCACTGTCAGGGGCTGCCCAGTCTCTTCCCTTCATCCTAGGTCACAGCCTTCCCTCCATACATCCCACTTGCCCTCTGCCTCCCAACCTAGGCTCATGCCTCACGCCATCCTAATATTCCCAGTCCACTACTTGAAACTATTCTCTGCATGCTGAATCCAGTTGTTAGCTAGAGAGGATGGGCAAAGGGGAGAGAGGACATGGGAAGGGGCAGGAGGGGGCCACACTACTCACTTGCAAGAGCTGATTCAGGTATATGATTTTCTGTGGCAAGAATCTGTAGAGGAATTCCTCAGCCTGTGGGTTACATTGCAAGGGAGGGGAATCACAGAATATGCTCAATGAGATGTCTGACAAATGGAACTGGAAGGGCCTTTGGAAATCACTGGGTCCAAGACTTGCAAATGAGGAAACTGAAGACCTGAAAATGAAAGGACTTGCCCAAGCTGGTAAGTGGCAGAACTAAGGTTAGGACTGTGCTATTCCTGCTTTGGGAGCCATGGATTTTTTCCTCCACATCAAAAGAGGGGAGAAGTGCCAGAAGTGGGGAGAGTCATAAGAAAGGTCAGATTAAAGGTAGCTATCAATAATTCCGGGGTTACTTTGGGTGAAGGCTTGGTAAGGGAAGTAGGGTTAAGTCTAGGGTGACTTGGGGGGGTCATTAGGAGAGGTTGTT